TAACAGTAGTTAAACAAATGGTTGTGAGGATGATTGATTGATTGATAGATAGATAGATAGATATGAGGGGTCCTTGGTGGTCTCTGAGTTTGCTTGTTTTCTTGCAGATGTTTAATTACCCTAACTAGGTAACACCATCAGTGTAGAAAGATAGATGATAGATAGACAGACAGATAGATGGCAGGCAGCAGAAAGACAGACAGACAGAGACAATATATAGATAATAGATAGAGAACCGTGCCTGTTGCAATTATTACCTGTTTAACTTTAGCTACATCCCTAATAAAGGCTTCATCGTTGACAAAATCCAGCAGCTTCTTTAGCTGGCTAAGATCAGTTAGGAAATCTTCCCCAATTCTCTGTATATTAAGAGAATAAAAATTATAATGAACAGAACTGATACATTTTTTCACAGTTGAATGCTTCTATTACTATGTACATCATTGTTAACAGTCACATAAGTGGCAATGTTTTGATACAGATGAAATCTGGTTCACTCTTATAGGTCTTGTTGACAATGAATAGGCTAATTTAGGACTAACCACTGAATTGGAGACTGGATATAATACAAGATGATTCTGCAAAAATGAAAAAGCGGAGAGAAAAAAAATGAAAAAGCAGCATCTCTATCCTCTCCCTTGGTATAAAATGTCTTCCCCCTTTAGCATCAAATAAATATCCATGTGATGTGGCTCAACCAAGAGAGGATGTGCTGCCAGATGCAGTATTTGGGAGAAAGCATTTGCCAATATTTGGAGTAATAATGCTAACTAACTCTCTTGTTTTTATAAACATTAAGGGGATAAATACTCATAATAACAATATTAATTATAGTTATTTTCATGATCAGCCAACATCAACTTAGAGGTTAGGCGCTCTGCTTAAATTTTATGTTTCAAAGGAAATCTTAAGTAAGGAGAAGTTGACATATGGTCTACCTGATACAAAATTGAACATGACTTTCTGCTAATCTGAATGCAAACTTACTATTTATCTAGAGTTGTTTACAGATTCAAAATCATACTTTTGTCAGTCACCATATTGTTATGCTGTACTCTGGAAACATCCTAAGTATCAGACAAGATAGTCTGTAGTATGCTGTCTCTTCTTTCCCCCCTCTTTTTGAAGGCAGGGATAACATTTGCTTCCTTCCAGTTATCTGGCGCTTCATCAGACTGTAGCTGAAACCCAACCAAGTATTTCTACAAGCATTTCCTATTGGCTGATACGTAACTTACCTCCACAATGACTTCGGAGAGTCCTGGGTTACACAGCAGAAGCCATCGTCTGGGAGTGATACCATTGGTTTTGTTTTGAAATTTTTCTGGCTCTATGTCGTAGAAATCTTTGAATCTACAATGCATACGAGTGAGATAGTTTTAAAAGGAACAAAACGTAATATAAATTATTTGGTGCCATTTAACACCATTAACTTTTTAGCAGCTCAATGCAACCGTTAAAAAGAGAATGTAGTCATAGGATACATTTATGAAAANCATGGTTTTATACACTTATAAAAATAGAGAGGTGTACATTTCTGTGATTTTGTTTTTTTTAATACCTACTTGATCTACTTGATCACCTTATGAGAGACCATATCAAGAAATTGACTCCATGGGAAGAATAGAACTATAAATTATTGACGTAGGCTATAGTAGCAGAATCCTGCAATCCTGAAAAGTAAACTATTTTACCTTCCCTCTCTTTTATAACCTTCCGAGTTAAGGACAGCCTCCTGGAGCACTCCAGAGGCCCCGTTTTGGCCTGGGAGGTCTCCTGCAGCACTCTGGTGGCCAAAACCGGTAGCGGGAGAACCACACGTGGGCCCCCCCGCACCCCATTTTTACTAGCAAAGGGACTGTGGGCCAGTCCTTTGCTATTTCCAGGCTGGCCCCACAAGCCAGATCTAAGCCCCCCTGCATGCCGGATATGTTTGACACACCTGGTATAGGGTCTCCTGCTTGAGTAAGAGGTTGGAATAGAAGACCTCTAAGGTCCCCTCCAAGTCTGTTATTCTGTTATTATTATATGACAATGATGATGATGAAGAAGAAGTAGGAAGCCATCTTCTGAATTTATCAGCTGAAATACCTAATTCCCAAAGAGAGTGCCACAAATTGATATATGTGAACACTTCTATATATGTATAAAATCAAAGGAAGCTTTGATCTATCCCAGTAGAGGCTTCCTGCTACATATATATATATGACTTTTTGTTCTTAATCTTTATTGAAGTTTGCAGCTCGTAGATACCTTAAATAAATCCATACCACAATAGAAATTGTCAATCTCCTCAAGTTCTTATTTTAATATGCTGAGTTTCCAAGTAAAAAGGATGTTTGAATCACACAAGGAAACAAAGACTAAAAATATTGGATTTATTTATTTTTGCATGCTTAAATAACTCAAAATTTAACATAAATGTGAAGTGTGTAGGCAGGCGGTGATGAGTGGAAGGAAGAAATATATGTTTAGCCTTAAGTACTAAGTAGTAAACTTAGCTTCACATTGAAATTCTTTACCTTTCCTCCAATCATAACTGTTCTTGGTACATAGGATTTTTTAGGGTCTTTTCTGATGCCTGAAAAAAAAGCAATAAAATTAAAATGGAGAATGACATTTAAAATGGATGATTTTAAAAAAGAAAAAAAAATTAACAAAAAATAATTTTGCCACAGGCAGTGGCGATCGACAGTGGCGATCAGCAGTGGCGATCAGCAGTGGGGTCGATTCTTGCCCGTGATGGGCCGAAAACAGGACGTGCAGAGGCCAAAAACAGGACACAAGAAGGCGGTGATGATCCACACAGCCTGGAACAGCTTATCGGCGCTATTCCGGGAGGCCGATCCAATTGCCAATCAGCTGCTCGTGCTAAATCAGGCTGCGATAACGTGCTGAAACTGACCAGGCTGTTTGCTGCAAGGATGCTAGCCAGATGAATACTGATGGATGCTGGGAGGTAGATTTTTTTTCTTGTTTTCCTCCCCAAAAGCTTCTTATGCGTCTTATGGTCCCG